AAAAGGCAATCTATCCTCATTTTAAGAAATTTCTCTAGAATTTTAATAAACTAGAATTCAGAAATATATCCGCAAGTTTAAAAGCAATAGCAAATAATGAATATGAAAACTCATACCTACATGAAGTTGAAATTATAAATGTGAGCAAAAAAAAAAAAAGATTAAAATGACAGTGTATAGCAATCAGAGTACTGTACTTACAGAGGTGTCACCGCCCTAAGACACTACACCTAACTCCTGATTTCACTGCTCCCAAAATACTACCAGAAATAAAAACTACAGGTGAATGGCCTGCTTCTCATAGGTACACGCAGATAAAATGTTTGCCCTTTTGTAGTTAACAGGTGAAGCTAGTGAAAGTCCCAGCCAGGTCTGGTAGAAGAGCTTCATCCTGAGTAGAAAGCAGGGGTCAATACAAATACCAGGAAATCAGTGCATAATACCGGGGTACAACATGAAATAAAAGAAAGGCTGCAGCTCTGGGAACAGCTGAACCTCAAATGCAACCTATGAAACATATTACCAGGCAGTGGACAACAAGGAGGCTATTAAGAAGGCTGGAGTTTGGCTTAAAGTAGAGCATTTGCCTAGAATATAAGGCCCTGGGTTCAACCCTGGGCACCACAAAAAAAGGGTGGGGCAGGGATTTAGCTCTGTGGTGCTGCCTCCTGCCTTGCAAGTGCAAGGTCCGCCAATCCCTGGTACAAAAAAAAAAAAAAATGGCTATTAACAAGCGTGCTGTATTCCCTTCTGGTGATTACCCTCTTACCCCTGTTATCCCTATTCATTTCTTATTTTCTTATTTCTTTACAGACCATGATTTTCCATAGATGATTCAGAGATATGAACTCTGCTGCAGTCTACTAAATACTCATACTCAGCTGGGTGTGGCGGTGCACTCCTATAATCCCAGCACTCCGGAGGCTGAGGCAGGAGGATTGCTGTGAGATCAAACCAGACTGGGTTACATAGTGAGTTCCAGGTCAGTCTCAACTACATAGTGAGACCCTATCTCAAAAACCAAAAACCAAAAAACAAAAAACAAAAAAAAACCCTAAATACTCATACTCTGTGGAAATACAGGTGGGTTCACTTTTTCCTGCCTCTTCCACAAGTATCTCTTGAGTATCCCCACATTATGGTCAAATGGACTATTTACCGTTTCCTAAATATGCTTTACATTTTCTTTCACACTTCTACTATTTTCTTATCCTAAAGTCCCCTACATGGCTGTCCCTAATCTCAGTCTAAAACATTCATTTTTTCACAAACAGCAAAAAAGATGTCTCCAAGGATACTGTCAGAAATAATTAGTATCTCTTCTGTCCCACAGATGCTTATTCACAATTCTTTTTACAAATACTATATAGCTTTTTTTTGACACATGGTCCCACTTTGCAGTATAGGCTGGTCTCAAACTTGCCACAATCCTCCTGCTTCAGCCTCCCAAGTGCTGGAATTACAGGCCTAAGCCACCATTCCAAGCTTCAAATACTATAGCATTCTTGTATCATACTTATTTGTGCATGTTTCCTTTTATTGAATATGGACATTCTATCTCTGCTCAAACCTTTCTTTTTTTTGGTTTTTTGAAACAGGGTCTCACTCTGTAGTTGAGACTGCCCTGGAACTATGTAGCCCAGGCTGGTCTCCTTGCAGCGATCCTCCTGCCTCAGCCTCCCAAGTGCTGGGATTACAGGCGTGTGCCACCACACGCTCAAAGCTTTTTTATTTAAAAATAATGTTAGCCAGGTATAGTGCTATATACCCATAGGCTCAGCACTCTGAAAGCTGAGGCAGAGGATCATGAATTAAGAAGCCAGCCTGGACTAAGCAGAACAGCATGTGTGTATACAATATAAACAATATCTTTAGGATCTGTCTGTGGAAAAACAAACGAACTAAAAATCATGTTTCCTTTGTTTGCAAACTAAAAACATTTAACTCTTGGTGTTACATTTTAAGGTAAATAAAGATTAAAATCAGATGTCATCCTCAACCGTACAGTTTTAGCCCTAAGTCAAACAAGCAAAGGCTTTCTTCCTTGGTCCCAAAAAACAAATAGCTGTGCAAAGCCTATGCTACTAAGTATAGGCAAAAGTAGCTTACCAAGAGACCCATGCCAGCTTTGCAACCCAGAATCACTCAGAAAGCTTAAGTATCCTGAGTATTACTCAGTAATGTACTTAACAAAGGAGAAAATTTTTAGGCATTCTCTTCTTTGGGTATCTCAGAATAAGACAAAGATCAAAAGGAATGGGGATTTAGCTCAGTGGTTCTGCCACCTGCTTTGCAAGCACAAGGACCAAGCTCAATCTCCGGTCCCCCCCAAAAACGAAAAAGATCAAAATATGATCTATCTAGAGAGAAGTAGCAGTCCCTAATATTTAGCGATCCTAAGACACTGTCTACATGCTGTTCTTCTCGACCTGCTGTTCCTCATCCTCATCCCCATCGGCCTACCAAACACCTCAAAAAAACCCAGTATGTTGTCAAATTTTCTAAACCTTTTCTGGTTACTTAAGAATAAGATTTGATAGTGATTCAATTAAACATTCTATAGTGATTTATGATATCAACTAAAATTATTTAGACTGTCTATAATCATATCTGACTACTTACGTTTCCATTTACTTTCTGCAAAGTAGTTGCTTTGCTGTTTTTGTTTCTTTCATTCAAATCCTTTAAATAAAAGCAGTTTAAAAAAAACAAGCAAAGGCTGAGGGTGTAGCTCATTGGTACAGCACACACATGTGCAAAGCCCTGGGTTCAAATTCCCAACACCAATAAGAGTATTACAAAACTGCCTTTTAAGGGCTGGGGATTTAGCTCAGTGGCACCTGCCTTGCAAACAGAAGGTCCCGAGTTCAACCCCCAGTACCACAAAAACAAAACAAAACAAAATAAGCAAACAAACAAACCTTTCCTTTTAAAAATATAAGCAGTAGCCAGACATGGTGGCACATGCCTGTAATCCCATCACTTGGGAGGCTGAGGAAGGAGGATCACAGTGAGTTTGAGGCCAACCTGAGCTACATAGTTCTACAAAGTGAGACCCTGTCTCAAAAAATAATAATAATAGTACAATTAAAATATAAGCAGTGAGCTGGGCATGGTGGCACACGCCTGTAATCCCAGCACTCGGGAGGCTGAGGCAAGAGGATCCCTGTGAGTTCGACCAGCCTGGGCTACATATAGTGAGTTCCAGGTCAGTCTCAACCACATAGTGAGACCCTGTCTCAAAAAAACAAACAAATGTGCCAGACATGGTGGCGCACGCCTATAATCCCAGCACTTGGGAGGCTGAGGCAGGAGGATCGCTGCGAGGAGACCAGCCTGGGCTACATAGTGAGTTCCAGGGCAGTCTCAACTACATAGTGAGACCCTGCCTAAAAAAAACAAAAAAACAAACAAACAAAAAACGAAAAAATTATAAGCAGTGAGGGCCGGGGATTTAACTCAGTGGTGCCACCGCCTGCCTTACAAGTGCAAGGTCCTGAGTTCAATCCCCAGTACTGGAATGAATGAATGAATGAATGAGTAAATAAATAAAATATATAAGCAGCAAGCTGGGCATGGTGGCATATGCTAGTAATCCCAGCATTTGGGAAGCTGAGGCAGGAGGATCACCAGGAGTTGGAGGTCTACCTGGGCTATACAGTGAGTCCAAGGTCATCCTGAACTACACAGTGAGAACAGGTCTCAAAAAACAAAACCAAAAAAAGCAGCTTTAACCAGACATGGTGGTGCACAAATATAATCCCAGCACTCAGGAGGGTGAATCAGGAGGATGCCCTCTAGTTTAAGGCCAGTCTGGGCTACACAGTGAGTTGAAAACCAGCCTGAACTACATAGTGAGACTATCTCAAAAAAATATTGAATAGGGCCGGGGATGTAGCTAAGTGGCACTGCACCTGCCTGGCAAGCACAAGGACCCGAGTTTGATCCCCAGTACCACAAAAAATAAAAATAAAAAAATGAAAACATAAGCAGTTTTGAAACAAACAGCAAATGCAGATGCAATTTCAACAATGATTTTAATCTAAATGTGATTTTAGGGGTTTTTATGGAAACCTTTTCCTAATCTTTAAAGTGGATGGCCACCATGTTTTTGCAAGAAACAAATGAAATGACATATAAAATGTCATGTATATCTCCAAACACACAGAAAGCCAACAAAAATAACTATTTTAAAATTTTTCTCTAGAGTAGTTTGGCACTACTGTATTTCTATGATTAATCCCTTTAAACCAGTTACCCAATACCATGGTCATTAGCTACATCTGACTACACAACATCTTGAAATACAGCTACTTTTTTAAAAATATAGCTAACTTTTAAATGACTTAAGTGCAAATTACAAACCCTATTTCAAAGATGTAGTGAAATAAACTTCCAAAGCTTAATACTTTGTAGAATTAAATGTGAAGTGACAACACTTTGAATACACTGGGTTAAGTAAAACACTAAAATTCATTTCAATTGTTTGTCTCTCATATTTTTTCACTGAACGGCCTGATCTATGCCTTGACTTCCAGCTGTTAAACTGGGTCTCTCGACTCTACAGACCACTGCTTAACAGGTGTTCACTCTAATCCACCACTTATCCCAGCAAACACTAGTTCATTTTAATGCTCTCAACTTCCACCACCCAGAAAATCTGGTGGACCACCTACTGCTCTATGCACAGCACACACAACTGCAGAGGAAATTCGAAATTATTAACTGCACAACAACAGACAGAAAAGATGTCTTGTTGGGGGGGGGTTGAAGGGTTGGACAACCCTGGAGATGGTGGATCTGCAGCAGAAGCACACCGTCCTTAGGAAAAAGAGACAACGGAGGGAGTTCCTCGGATCTGAAGGAGGGAAACGTGGAGGCCAGGGGATAGCGATCTGAGCAGAAAAGCTTCCGCATGGGAGTGGAGGGGGAGAGGCTGAGCTGGAAAGAAGGGGCGGGGCGGGCTCGGCCGCGGAAGCAGAAGTAGGGAAAAGCAGTACCTTGAGAATCCCCCTCATTTTTGCCAGAAACGGGCGGAACTCCTCGGGCGATACCTCTGGATAAAGCTGGCTCCGCAACAGCTCCTCTGTTATGCCTGGGTGCCCGTGGAAAGCGTCTTGGGCCAGGCCGCTCAGCAGCCCGCTCAGGGACTTGCTCCCCTCAGGCTCACCAGCCATGTTCTGCGAAGGCCCCGCCCCTCAACAGCTGATCGTGGCCGAACCACGGCGGCCGAGAGGAGCCTAAATAGCCTGGACAGACGAGCGAGGAGCGCGGGAGAGGAATTCCAGAGGTCGGTGTCGGCGTTGCCCAGCTTTGCTGTTAGAAGGTCATTACTGGTATACCCCATTAGTTCCAATTACGATAATTTTTCTCCGGCTGATTTCCTTCATCACTCCAAAGCTTACTCAAAGGAAGTATCATTTTATGGAGATCCTGTAACAGTGCCCGTTTTAACTTTCAGGTGGTTGTCTCTTATGTCAGAATTTGCCAACAATTAACTGAATAGGATCCACCACTCAGATCTAATCTTTGCATACTCCTGACACTTTGTCTAAGAATATTTCAGCCGCTTCTGATAACATAAATGTTTGCTTATTTCCTCCTTCGTTGTCCCCCTTCCCTCACCCTCTTCTCCCGGACTGAAAACAGAGGAGCTCTACTGTTGAGCTGTAGAGCTAGGGATTGAAATCAAGGCCTCTGTGGGAAACATGATTATTAGTTGCAAGTGTTGTTAATTTTAGTAACTCCATTTTGTTAAGTTCCTCCACTTTAGAGGTGGTGTATTTCCTTTGTGGAATTCCTGAGAGTTGCAGCTTCTTGTCTCTGACCTTCAGACGTGTGGTTGTCTGGGTTACTACTACCCATGGTGGTTGTTTTTGTTGAGCCTGTTTTCTCTTTCCTGTGTGAACTCTCATTTCTGTGGAACAGGTGTTGAGGTTACTATGGTAATCCTAGCCCATAATAGTTTGTGGGGTTTTTTTTCCTTTAAAAGGCTGATGCTTGCCTGCAATAAACGTCGCCTTGATCAGACTCTTGTCTTGGCGTCCTTCCTTTCTCTCTGCCCCATCTCCACCCCGCTGCTCTTTCAGGTTTGAGACACTGCTGGACAGTGCTCTGCGGCGGCTCCGGACAGGCCTCCTGTGGGCAAGGCAAGTATTCTACCACCAAGCTTACTGAGCTACACTCCCAGCTCTAATTTTGAAATAGGGTCCCACTAAATTGCCCAGGCTGACCTGGAATTTGCAATCTTCCTGCCCCAGAGTCCAGAGTAGCTAAAACTGTTACCACCACATCTGGCTTGATTGCCTTTTATTTTTCCCTCTGTTTTTTTGAGATAGAGTCTATGTAGTTCAGACTGGGCTTGAACTCACTGTATAGTTCAGGCCTCGAACTCACAGCAATTCTCCTGCCTCAGCCTTCTGAGTACTGGGATTACAACCATGTCCAACTTGGTTGCCTCTTACACACACACACACACACACACACACACACACACGCCTTATTTTTACAGCTTGACCAGTGGTTCTTTTGATCCAATGTTCCTTTTTTTTAATCCTTCTGCCTCAGATTCCAGAGTGCAAAGTTCCTTTCTATAACAAATATTTTGTTAATATCTTGTTACCCTGAAATGCATGATCAAAGGGCATAGTGGTGCAGACCTGTGATTCCAGCACTTTGGAAGCTGAGGTAAGGGGATCACTGTGAGTTCAAGGCCAGCCTAGGTTACATAGGGAGTTCAAGGACAGCCTGAACTGCATAGCAAGACCCTGTCTCAAAAAAAAAAAAAAAGGGTTTTCCACTGCTACTGCAGTCTTATACTGTTCTTCTCTGAAGGACAATTAGGATAACTTTCTACTTAGCATTCCGCATACAAAGACACAGGGATCTTTGTAAAAATTCATTTTTAAATGATACCTGCCATCAACCAATAACAAATGTTGGCGGGGCTGTGGGGAGAAAGGAACCCTTCTCCATTGGTGGTGGGAGTGCAGACTGGTGCAACCACTATGGAAATCAATATGGAGAGACCTCAAAGAGCTGGGAATAGAGGTTCCATTTGACCCAGCCATCCTTCTGCTGGGTATCTTTCCAAAAGAATTAAAAGAATCACATCACAGTGATATATGCGCACCCATGTTTATAGCGGCACAGTTTGTAATAGCTAAAACTTGGAAACAGCCCATTTACCCATCCGTTGAAGACTAAATAAAGATGTAGTTTTTCTATAAAATGGAATACTACTCACCCATAAAGAATGAGAAATTAGATTAATTCATAGGAAAATGGATACATATTGAGGATATACTCCTAAGTGAAATACATAAGTCACATGTGTAAATACCGAATAGTTTCTCTGGTGTGAAAAATTATAATAGTACATAAGATCCTAATGGTATAACTGACAATGTGAAATAGGAAGAAAAGGGCTAAAGGTGTAGGGAAAGTGAGAAGGGTAGGAGAAAGGTAATAAGTGAAAAAATATGAAAAAATGGAAATAAAGTGTTTGTAAATGGGGAGGGAAGGAAGGGCTGAAGGGAGGGCAGGGACAGGGGGAAAAAATGAGAACCAAGACCTGTCATGTAAAGGTACAAGAGCCCAATAATGAACGTAACTGTACTGTATACCTAAAATGTACAAATAAACTCAATGAGAGAGAAAAAAATGATAACTGCCAATAAATTATATGGAGTAAATAAGGTTCAAATTGTATAATTGAGGGGCCAGGGATTTGGCTCAGTGGTTCTGCTGCCTGCCTTGCAAGTGCAAAGGCCTGAGTTCAATCCCCAGTACCAAAAAAAATTGTATAATTGATAATGTGCAATAGGAAAAAAAGAGCTAAAGGTGTAGGGGGAGTAGGAAGAGTAGGGGAAAGGAAAGAAGGGAAAAGAAAAAAAATATGAGAAAAGGAAAAAATGGAAACAAAATATTTGTAAATAGGGGAGGGTAGAGGGGATGAAGGGAGGGCAGGGGTATGGGGAAAAAATAAGAAGCAAGATACATCATGTAAAGGTACAAGATCCCAATGATGAATGTAACTTACTGTATACCTAAAAAGTACCAATAAGCTTAATGAAAAAAAAAAAAGTGAAATGCTCGGTCGATATAACTTCTGTTATGGTTCATACATAAGTGTCCCTCCCAAAGCTTCATATGGTCATTGAAAGGGGGTTCGCGTGCCCTTTCGGGTGCCCCTTCCCAATTAGGCCACTCACGCACCGAGAGGCCTGGCAGGAGATCTTTATTGTAGGGAGGCGAGCAGGAGGCAGGAAGGCAGAGAGAGAGAGAGAGGAGGAAGAAGCAGAAAGAGAGAGAAGAACAAAGAAAGGAAGGTCCTTTTATCAGTTTTGGAGTGGGCTATTGCTTATTTATGAGGAGTGAGTTACTTTTAACCTATCACAGGACAGATTGCTTTTATGGGCCCAGTCCTGCAGACACAGGTTTCAACTTTCCTGGACCACTGTGGCCTTGGGGGGGGGGAACCAGAGATAAGGGCATGAGGTCATTTTAGGAGCCAAGATGTACCAGGAGAATGCAGCCTGTGAGGCGGCGTCACAGCATACTTTAACATGATCAATTCCCTAACAGTCATAGTGGGGCTTTTCAGAGGTGGCTGGATCTAGTGATGCTAGGATCAAGGAAGTGATGCTGGGATTCATGTGGGATGCTAGGATTAAAGGTGCCCACCCTGAGGCCTGGATGAAGCATAAGGGAAACAGGGCTGTGGCCATCACCTGCTACTGTTACTTCTGTTGCTTCTGTTTGTCTTCTGCTGCCTCTTGCATGCTCTACCATGCCCCTCTGCCATGCCACCCTGCCTTGGAACCAGCCAATTATGGACTGAAACCTCTACAAACTGTCAGCCAAAAAACCTTTTCTTGTTTAACTTTAGCTATTGGGTATTTTGTCTCAGCAACAAGAAAAGTAAGACAACTCCCTACCCACATAATTACAAAAACTGAATGTATTATTCAGTAATAAATAAAAAGGAATAAAGTATTAATACATACTACAACATAGCTGAACCTAAAGAACACGCTAAATGAAAGAAGCCAGACTCAAAAGGCCAAATATTGGGCAATCCACAGAGCTATAGCCATATCCCCTAAAATAAAAATTCTTTTAATGAAAAATGTTAAAGAACATATGTGTCCTACATTATAGAGGAAGGCCATAAGCCTTAGATAATGGTCCTTAAACTTTTTGATATCATCAGATGCTTTCAGAACCTGATAAAACCCTCAACCTCAAATACTTTATCCCCAAAATGCAAGTACAGGTCAAATGTAGCCTGCAATTTCTATGGGTTAATTTACTACTCTAAAGTCTTTCTTTTTGTAAACCTCAGTTTTCTATGGGTTTTAAGAACTCCTTCTGAGTACTCCCAGTTCTTCAACTTCACAAAAAATTACTTTTCTTTTTGGTGCTAGAGATTGAACCCTGGGGCTTTACCATGCTAAGCAAATGCTCTACCGCTGAGCTAAACCCTCAGGCTGAGATGACTTTTTTTTAGAAGCAGGATGACGTGTTATATATCACTATTATTTAACTTTTATTCAAATATATAAGTAAGACAGGCAAAGTTTTACTTCTACCCTTTTAAGGTTTTTCAATCAGGTCTGAGAATAAAAGTGATATAAAACAATTAACAGGTAAAAAGTGTACGTGCTTAACGTGTTACATGATATGGAAACCCTCATAAAGAAATGTTTTTATTAAAAAGAAGCAATTGTGGAAAAGTAAATTATTTGGGGAAAATTAAGAAAAAAATTTTTTTGAGATAGGGTCTCACTACTAATTCAGGCTGGGCTTGAACTCACTCCGGCTGCCCTCAAACTCACTGCAATTCTTCAGTCCTTCTACCTCAGCCTCCTGAGTGCTGGGATTACAGGCATCAGTCACCACGCCAGCCAAGAAATCTTTTTTCTTTTTTGGGTATCGGGGATCAAACTCAGACCCCTGCACTTTCTTTTCCTTTTTTTTTTTTTCCTCTTTTAACTTCTGTGTATTTGTTACCTTATAAAGAAGGTGACCTGGGCACTCCATTCTCATTCACAGGTCGTGTTTCAAATTATTCTTCCAATAATTCCTAGGAAGTTTAGTTTATTCCTCTAAACAATACTTTTCTTTGGAAAACAAGCCCCGTGGAGTTTCTGCCATCAAGTTGTTTAACTTACTTATTTCTAGAAGCCTAGTACATGCAGAATTGAAATTACAGGGGGAAAAGTTTTAAAAAGTAGAGGACCTTGCACTTTCCAGGCAGGCAGTGGAACCATTGAGCTAAATTCCTGGCCCAAGAAAGTATTTTAACAAAGTCTGGAGCCAGAGGCAGTGGTGCACACCTGTAATCCCAGCACTCAGGAGGCTGAGGCAGGAGGATCGCTGTGAGTTGGAGACCAGCCTGGGCTACACAGGGAGTTCCAGGGTAGTCTAAGCTACATAGTGAGACCCTGCCTGTCTCAAAAAAAAAGTTTGCACAGAATCTTTTGTGTCTCAGCTTCTCATCCTTGACAAGAATCTTTCCTTCTGATATAGGGAGGACCTCCTTCAGTCGGTTTGTTTTGAGACAGGGTCTCACTATGTACTTCAGGCTGGCTTTAAATTCACCATGTAATGTAGGCTGACCTCGAACTCCCAGTGATCCTCCTGCCTCAGCCTGCCAAGCACTGGTATTACAGGTGTATACCACCATGCCCAGCATAGGGAAGATATCTTTCCTATCTGGGTTTTCTGCTTTAAGGAAGAAAAAAGGGGAGCTAAGTGCCCTTCCAGCACCTGCTTTCGGCTCACAATAATTATGCCAAAGTGCTATTTTTGGTATGGCATATTTTGTCACATCACTGGACATGTTACTGCCTCACTGGCCTATAGAAAGTCCCAAAATATCAGGTTAGCTGTGGGTTTAGCTCAGTGGTTCTGCCACCTGCTTTGCAAGCACAAAGACCTGAGTTCTATCCCTGGCACCAAGACAAACAAAACATAAAACCAAAATATCAGATTGGCCATAAAAGCAATTCATTGCTGTGCCACCAGGGGCTGCTATTGCCAAAGTTTATGTTAAAGTTTGCTACCTTACTAGCTGCATTTTTAGAATGCCTTTCAAAATGTCTCAACTTTTTCTTTTGTTCTTTGTTCTTTTATTAAATTTTAAAACACAACCCTTTGTAGATAATACACTTGGGCACAGAGCTATTAAGAAAATTGCCAAAGACAATTCTAAATAAGAAAAGACCCTGTAGCTTTGACTCAAAAGGAATCTTAAAACACCTAATTAGCAGCCCAGCCCTCCTTGTAAACAGGTTTCTTTGTGGAAACCAAAGAGGTTTCCATTCCAAATTCCATTAAGCAACTAGTCCCACACAGGCAATAGGTGTTTTTTAAATACTGATATAAAACGTGAACTTAAATAGTGTGCCGGTACAAGGGCCCCACAGTTCTGCAATACACTCTCCTTGCCCCGTCTTAACTATCTTTCAATTCTGTCTTTAGTACCACTCACTCTCCACCCAATCAGCCATTCAACACAGAGGTTTGCACCAGCCTTTCTACTAATCTCTAAGGGACAGACAGATGAGTGACATAAAATCCTGTTCTGATAAAAGAAAATAGTATATAAACAAAACGGCTAAATTACAATGAACCAAGAGTTAGTACTTAGTACTTAGAAGTAGCTATTCAGTGAGAAAAGAAGAAATGAACTTAATGGGCAGATCCAGGAGAAGCTTCATGGTGAATAGCTGAATATGCTTCAGGTGAAATAGCACGTCCCTCTATAAGGAGCAATGAAACAGAATGGTGTATCGAGATATCTGTGAGTAGTGTAGCAGGGGTGGACTCAGTAGCTTAGGGTAATAAATCTGAAAAAAAAGTCAGGGCCTAGATCATATAGAGGGAGTTTTACATCAAATGCTAATTTTTAATACTTGGCTTTCCGTTAGAGCAGAGAAGGGAGAATCTTTCCCTTATTTATTGGCTGGAGCTCTGTAACAAAGATTGACAAAAGAAAAGCACTCCTGTAAGACTTGAATAAGCTAAAGTGACTCCATGCTAATAGGCCAGACTGTGCTTCTTCATATGCTAATTGCTACCTTGCTTAACAGCCCGCCCAGGGGCAAATGGTTTGACAAAAGGTGACCCTAGAACATTTCCTGCATAAGATAAGCAATGTGTTTGCAGTCTTGTTCTGTGAATTCTCCAACTCTTTGTTTAGAAAAACCTTATAAAAAGCACCTCAGCCCCTGAGCAGTGGCCTCACTGAGCCACCTGGCTCTGGAGTGCCGTCTGGCCAGACTAATAAAGGTCTATTTACCATCTAGCCTGGTGTGTTCCTTCCTGGGTTTCTCGTTTCTCCGTCGAGCTCCCGGAGCCTCGCTGGGTGTTAGGGCCCAGTATCGTGGAGGCCTTTTTGGCTGTTCACGCTCCGTGGAGTGGAAGTGAGACTTTAGGTCTTACACTCCAATGTGTCACGCCTGGCCTAAGTAAGATCTTCAACAAGCAAGCAGGCCAAGCAAACAAGCCACTCTTGGCAAACAGGCTATTTCTCAATAAACAGAAAACAACTCCACTGCAGTAACTCCAGTGATTGTCTACACACCTGTGCTAACTGTCCTTGGATTCTGTCATATTTCTTTTTTTTTTGGTATGAGGGCTCGAACTCCGGTCCTTGCGCCTGCGATGCTGGTGCCAGAACCACTGAGCTAAATCCCCAGCCTTCTGTCACATTTCTTATGATCATAACCCCTTTTTCAATACCTGTATTTCTAATTCCCTTCCCAGCTAGCTGCTAACATCTCTCTTGATGTTAGGCCATCATCACAGATGAAATTCTCTCTCCCGTTAGCCCATCTACACACAGCTGTAATGAACTCGGCTTTTCCCGGCTAGATGTAAAATCTATCCCTGATTTTAGTCTCTGTTCCCTGGAATAAACTTCTACTTTCCTCACAAAGGCCTATCTCTGAGGGAGTAGTTTCACTCAAGCTGTTTATAACAAAATGTACTGTATTTAAGCTTTACACAACATAGAAGCCTACATGAGAAAATGAATATCCAAAGAAACAGTTGGAGCCAGACAATTATATGCTAAATTGGACAGAGTAGTAAATTGTGAAAATGTAACAGGACAAAGGAGGCTAGGATAGGGCAGTTAACCAGGAATTCAGTAGGAAGACTCACAGCTTTCTCTCAACCCCTTTGTCTCTGGTGTTAAACTCTTAGGATAAAGGGAGGGCACCTTTCACATGCAGGTTTTATTTTCTGCTTTCTGAATAAAAAGGTCAGAGTGCAAGTTCAAAAAAAAGTAAAGATTTATGGGGCCAGGTCTTTAGGTCAGTGGCACCGTGCCTGCCTTGCAATTGCAAGTTAAGATTGACTACTTTGCTCACCAGATAACTGAGCCAAATTGTTATTGATGATATTTAGTCCCTGAAGAGTATGTTATGTAGGAGATTAATGAGTTGTAATAACGATACAAGCAGTCCTGAATTGGCAGGTAGTCACAACTACAAAATTTAAAATCTTCTGGCATTTAACCAGGGTGTTTTTAAACCACTACCTACTACCCAGTTCCCATTTGAAACTTTGGGAGGGGGTACTGGAGATTGAATATAGGGCCTTTGCACGGAGTGAGGTTACTTGCTTTCTTATTTTGAGGCGGCCGCGCTAAATCTCTTCGGCTGGGCTCCAATTTGCTGCTACAATCTGCCGCCTAGCGTGCTGGGACCACAGGTGTGTACCTCCACGCCCAACTGAAACAACCAATCTTAATACTTAAAACTAAAGAAAGCACCCCCGCCTTTTTTTAAAAAAAAAACCAAGACTGACAATTCAGAACCCCGCAATGGGCAATAGCAGGCTGAGCCACACCAACCCTGAAGCAAACCCAAGCCCCTAGGTTTCCCCCACAAATTCCGTCTGCAAAGCTAGGGGGCCTTGTAGCCGTGGGGTGGAGAGTGTGTAGATATAGGTGTCCCCAAAATCCGCCTAAAGAGATATTTTTATGTACCAATTCCACAAGATGAATGTAATTATAACGTATCATAAATATATACAATAAAAAAAATTTAATCCCTCATCGTCTCTGCGCCCCATCGTTGCCCATCCCTAGCCTGCGGGATAGGCATCTGTGAAGAGCCACCTCTCCCGGCACGCAGCGGGCAGCCTTTACGTCACGCCAGCGCCGCGCCGCGAGCTAGGACCCTTTCTCTGCCTCCGCTTCCTCTTGCACCGGCGCTCCTTTCTGGAAGGTTCTTGACGGCAGTGTAACCGACCGTTAATCCGCAACCCACGAGAATCCGTGTCCATCCGTCCTTGCTGAGGCCGCGCAGATTTAGTTAAATTTGCCATGCCGGAGAACGTGGCACCCCGGAGTGGGGTCCCTGCTGGGACTGCTGGCGGCCGCGGGAAAAGCGCCTATCAGGACCGTGACAAGCCGGCCCAGATCCGCTTCAGCAACATTTCGGCCGCCAAAGGTATAGCACTCCTCTGCGCCTGAACCCCGGCGTTGCAGGGTCGGCCTCAGCACTTACCTTGGTTTTGCTACGGATATGGCCCACTCCCTGTTCGTTCTAGGGGCCCTCCTCCCAAAAGCTTTGTGAAGGGATTCTTTGAGTTTCTGTTGCCAATTGATTACAGACTTCGATATGGAGGCTATTATATCTGTGCCATTCTGAGTGTTAGGCGTTTGTAGTTTTTCTTGATTGTGCGTTGTTCATCACATGGGAGCCCAAAACAGTTAAGTGTAACATGCCAAGGACTGCATGGGAGCGGTCCCCTGGGGTTAGACGCTTACACGCTGTCGTTTATGTGCTTACTGGACCCAGTGGTATACTGTTGCATAGTACTTTTCAGCTTTTACATTTTCCTAAAACGGTGTTTTAAGCTTCCCGCGGCACAGTTACTGGGACTAATTTGGTAATCTTTGCGTCTAAATTGGGGCAGGATTTACCCATCTTGTTTGGGAATAATTAGGGGGAACTGAAGTACTCTTCTGTCGACTCTACAATCAAGAAATAGACTACAGGTTTTTGTAGAACACTAGCACGTGGTAGAAATCATAAAAGACTTCAGGTTAATTCTGTTAACTTTGTGATCTTTTATCTCTGAGTTGAGGTTACCCTTAAAATTGAGAAAAATATTTACATACATTTATTTATTTATTTTTTGGTACCAGGGATTGAACTCGGGTCCTTGAGGCCACCGAACCGCTGAGCTAAAGCCCCGGCCCTTAGTCTTTACTTTTTATAACTGAGGAATAAGAGAAGTTGAGTTAAAATTGGAAAATGTGGAAGAGAACAAAGGCATAGAGATCTTGCCTGGTGTTTATTTAGTATAGTATTTCTTTGGCGTTGGAGGATAAGATGCATGAAGAAGTGAGAGGCTAGATTGGAAAGGTAAGTTGGGGCCAGATACTGAAGTGGTGTCTTTAAAAAAAAAAAAAAAAGTGTTTGGCTTTATATCCAGTAGCTACAGATTATTCTAAAGGTAGATGAGGTAATAGCTAAATTATAGGGTTGCTGTGAGGGTTAAATGAGAAAGTTACATAAAGATTTGTTGTATACATAAAGGTATTTGCGGGTATTTGCAGTCATCAGCCCAAGTGACTGGGAATGTGATAATACTAAAAAATAGGTGCTGGGTGGTCAAAGAAAATAGTTTCTGATTTGGGTTTACCGAATTGGAGAGGTCAGATGAACCGATGGGTAGATTCAGGAACATTTGTGAAGTAAGGATGCTGAAAGATAAATTCTGGGGCATCTGGATGATCAAGAGACTATATACTATGGTTAATTTTCAACAAAACAATGCAAAGAATTGAAACAACACAAGAGATAGGCATCTAGGAAAGAAAAGCTGCCTAAATGTCTATGAACCTAGCCACATAGATCATTGAGGGGATCTCATAGAGCAGAAAGGCCCCAAACTTGTTTTCCTGAGTCAGGCAGAACCTTACAAAGCAATTGAAAAAGCTGCTGCTAGGTGCATTTTTCGTTTAATACTGGAAATAAATTTATTATAGTGTTACTTAAAAAAGTGTGGTTGATGAGGAAAACCACACTCTAGTATACTACTTTCAGCATGAACAATTTAACCAACACTATTTTTGTGCCTACTGTGTGCTTGTTAAAGACATTTCCAGAGATATAAGAAGTCTAAAACGTTGTATTTATTTAGATGGTGGTTATCTTTCCAGAATCTTCACATTGATGAAACTAAGAACATTCTTGAAGTGAGACCTTTTTGCAGAATCATCAGTGAAAATGGAATGTGGATTGGATAATTAGGAACAATAGATGAGAGCTTTGAGGTTCAAATAATACAATTTTTAGATTACACAAGGTTTTGAGATTCAAATAATATAATTTTTAGATTGCACAAAGTATTTCTTGTTAAATCTTAATGATTATGTTACTTTTCACACAGTAAGGGTAAAAACGTTGTGCTAGTGGTAGAGTATAGAAAATGATTAGAGGGCCAAGGTTTTAGCTCAGCACCACTGTGCCTGCCTGGCAAGGGTAAGGTCCAGAGTTTGATTCCATCCAGGTTGGGGGGATGATTAGGGCACAATCTGTGTGTCCCCATATATATATGTATGTATATAAAAAACATGTTGCAGTGGTGTATCGGGAAGGAGAAAATAATTTGTCCTGGACTTGAGATAGAAAAGGGAATTAAGTACTAATCATCAATTCGAATTTTTGTTAGAAAATTATTATAAGTTAATTAAAGCCCGGTGTGGTGGTGCACATCTGTAATTCCAGCACTCAGGAGACTGAGGCAAGAGGACTGCTGCAGGTTTCAGTTCACATAGTCAAAAAAATGACAACAAAAAAGTGAATTAACAAAATTGCAACATTTTCATGGATAATAACATAGATAACATTAATAATGACAGCCACGATTTTAGAGTTTTGGTTTTGTCAAGTGTTAGTAGCGTTTTCAGGAATTGTACCACTGGGGTTTGCTAGTTCTGTTGATATTGCTAATGTTAATTTCTCCTATGAACTATCCATGTAGCATGTTCACGTTACTGAACAAAAGTCTTTCACCTTGAGGATTATGCTCTTTTGGGGGTGTACTGTGGATCGAACTCAGGACCTTGGGTTTGAGCAGTATCACTGAGCTAAATTTCCGACCCCTCAAGATTATGCTCTTATAGAAGAGGGAAAAAAAAAATCAGTGAATTTTACATGGTGTATTAGGAAATCTACTCCATTCTGTTAATGCCTTTGTGGGGAAGGGTATTATGGTGGTTTAAACCTAGGGTCTTCATACTAAGCTACATTCCCAGTCCTTTTTTATTAATTAATTTGCTTTATATATTTATTTATTTTGAGACCAAGTCTAACCATGTATTTTGGGTTGACCTTGAACTCACAATAGGTGCTCCAGGCTGATCTCAAACTCATGGTGATCCTCCTGCCTCAGCCTCCTGAGCTGCTGGGATGGGGTGTGTGCCACCTCAGCTAGCTGCTACTTGTCCTATTTTAAGCAGTAGAGGAAATAATCCCTAGTCGGAGCTCCCAAGTAGATTGTACTGTTTAGATACTTAAATCTTCAAATAGGTTCTGCCATAGGCAGAGCACAGATACTCCATAGTGACTTTAACAAAAATGTGTAGCATCCTAAATTTAAAAGGTGTAAGATAATTGCTGTTTCCAATAGGTTATTCTAAACATGAGTTTCTTTGGTGGAAATGGTAAACTGTAGTATAGCATACCCTAATAAGACAAAATGATCATCTGAGGGAGAAATACTTTGCTTTTTAAAGAGTCTTGATATTTTTTTTTTCTCTTGCTTACAGCTGTTGCTGATGCTATTAGAACAAGCCTTGGCCCTAAAGGAATGGATAAAATGGTAAAAAGCTAACTTGTTCAGTAGTTATGAGTACCACTATTAACAGAAGATCTGATGAAAGATTAAGATGTACTGTTTAAAAAGTGTTAGAGGGCTGGGGATTTAACTCAGTGGCACTGCGCCTGCCTCACATGCACAAGGCCCTGAGTTTGGTCCCTGGTACTGCCAAAAAAAAAGTGTTAGGTACTTTAAAAATTGAGGCAAGAGATTACTTTTGAGTGAATGGAATTTAAGTATAATGTTTTTGTTTAACCCTTTTAAAATTCAGAGTAATAAGTATATAATTCAGTCTAGAAATACATTTCACATTCAGAGTAATTTAATAATGCTTTGTTTCTTGCTTTTTAAACAATGAGTACACAAAAGTAGGTGTATATTAGCTGGCAAATATAGTTCAGGTGTCCGGTTGAGTACTGTGTTTTTTTGTTTTGTTTTGAGTTCCATGTTCTTTGTATGAAACTGTTCTAATGCTAATGACAGGGTCTATAAGGTTTCATATTTACTTCTAGCTAGCTCAGTTGACCAGCAGCATAAAACATATTCCAAAACCTTTTTAGTAACAATGCCCTCAAATTCAACACTAGTTAACATCTCAAAATGAGAGGTAAAACAATATGAAGTATTTGGATGATATACTGATTGGCTGTTCTAAAGTCTATGCATCTTACTAAAGCTGTTGCCTTTTTTTTTTTTTTTTTTTTTTTTTTTTTTTTTTTTTTTTTTTTTTTTTTTTTGGTACCAGGGATTGAACTCGGGTCCTTGCACTTGCAAGGCAAACTATGGATTGAACTATTGAGCTACATCCTCAGCCCATTTTTATTTTGAAACTGGGTCTCAGTAAGTTTACCAGGCTGGGCTTGAAGTTGAGATTCTCCTGCCTCATTCAGCCTCCCACAGTGCTGGGATTACTGGCATCAACACCATACCTGGCAATAATGCCTATTTCCCAGCAGTATTTTTTCTATCCTTTTATGTGTCTAGATTACTTCACTTTTTTTTTTTTTTTTTTTTTTTTTTTTTTTTA